ATATGCATATATACATATATACACACACACAAACACACACACACACGTGTACACACACACACACATACACACATATATATACGTTAAGTAACAGTTTACAATGCATGAATATACACGAACATAAAAGTATCTGTACCTGTAAAGTCTGTTTCTGGAATACACATCAGCTGAATATGTACATAGCGATATAAAACACAGACAATCTATAGTGAAACAATACTTCTGTTCAATAATGCTAAGAACGATAAGTGCAATTAAAAATGAAGAGGTCACTTTCTTCGCACCTCAGTAAGGTATATAACTCATTTCTGTGCAATAATGCATGCAGATACTCAACAGCGCACAATACCACTTCTCTTAGAGTATGACATACCCAGACCCGTAATAATCACCGGCACATTAGGAGTCACATAGTCACGCAAGAATGCCAGTGCCGTTATGGGTCCTTTTGTTCTCTTGATGACCCTTGGTACGTAGAAATCATTAGCGTCCTCGCGAAGACCGCTCAAGGCTTTCTCCATATTGAATCATCATACTACGACTAAATATGTGTTCCGATGTTATTTACTGGGTTGGTATGTGATGAGGTCGCTACTCGCCACATCATGTCGCCTCGATTTTAAATTGAAATACTTGAACCGTAATTGTATCGCTTTTTAGAATAGGACCCATGCATCACTTGATAAATTTTATTAAACTGTCATTCGATTTGTATAAATTATTTATTGGAATACTAGAAGCAGTTTGATTGATTTCCAAAACTCAAAGTCTGACTTTGAGATGGGGATATAAAGATACGACCCTATGCTGAACATCTTGTCCCAAAAGATGGAATTCTCTACTCTCTCGTAGTCGGGTGGTCCGTGTGGCGCGTGTGGAGAACTGGAGTCTGGACTTGGAGAGTGGAGAGTTGGAGACTGCAGAGTGCAGACACACACTCTCTACTCTCTCTCTACTACTCTTAGAGTAGTAGAGACGGAGCATGAGCCTGTGAGGCCATGAGACCATGAGTGCAGACTGTATCATCATAATAAGTCTGAGACTCAGAGTCTGAGAGACACTGAGAGACGGAGACCCGTCCTTTGACTCTATTTTAGGCATAAATATCATTTGTTTTAAATGTCATATTTTTTCAAGTTATATTTTATATTGTCATATTTACATTGACATTCATTTGAAAAACAAAAAAAAATGAAAAAACAAAACAAAGAGTGCTCGAGAGCCGAGTACTCGAGACTTAGAGATTCTACCTCTTTCAGATTCACTCTCAAGTGCGTAAATAGAGTCTCAATAGTGCGTAAAGTAGTGACGAGACTCACGAGAGGGAAGTATGTACAGCCCAGCAACCAGGGCGGACAGATTTGTAAAGGCTGCTTATAAAAATTATTACTATATTGGGGTTTTCGGACATTCCGTTAGGAAGAAGTGTACCTAAGTCTATTTTTTTGTTTTGTTTAATATATATATCTATTCAACTTACATCGATTTAAAAAAAATAGATTCTGCAAATAGCAATATTTACACCTAAGAATACATAAGGCCTGTTTTGCCAACTTTATAAAATTCTGAGGAAAATATTGTTTCTGGAATTGTGGACTGTATTTCGGATAATTTCTTTTCCTATATTCGATTCAAAAATTTCTAGCCAGTCCAACAAATTCTGGCTGAAGGGCAGCCCAGAACTTCCTCAAAAAGTCTATTTTCCAGTTGACAAACGCACGAGTCCGTTAAAATAGTGGGTGGTTGTCAATTCTATTTTTGTTTGTCGTAAAACCTTATCCATTGGTTGAAATTAACAGCTAGAATCTGTTCATCATGTACATTTACGTACATACATAAAAATGTGATATACTGTGATTTCAAAAGTGCGCGCTCAAAAAGCCAGAGTAAATTTTAAAATAGATCAGTCTATTTCCCTTGTCAAAGTGAAAACGTGTCTGACCCTCGTTTTCACTTATTCGAGGGAAATTCTGGATTTCGAATTTTGAGGAGAATTTCTTGGAGATGCAGTCTTGTAATTTAAAGTTGCCAAACGGGACAATCTGAACGGATTTCATGTTTCAAATTGTCCTGAGAATTTCAAATACGCTTCATAATTTCAGCCCGAGGATATGAAAAACACAATTTAGTTCCCGGAGTAAGGTGTTTTACTTCATCCAAGAAATTATTTTCACAATTTCATAAACTTGGCAAAACCGCCCTAGATATAAAATATCATTCCCCGCATAGTGAAAATACTGGATATTTTTATTTCAAAAAGTATGAGAAACAATCAACACATACTCTGGCAGTCAGGCTCATGGCTGTTTATTGAATAAATACAATGTTTGGAATTAGAGTATCCAGTATCCAGTATATAAGAGTCAATACTGTAATTGGAGCACTGGAGTCCTGGACAGTCCCACAGCCCAAAGGCCCAAACTCCAAAGTAGATACCGGATACTTTGGCAAGACTATTTTTAGTGGCAAGTATTATTAAAGTAAAATATTTATATATATTAGGGCTTTGGACTTAGGGCTTAGGACTTAGGGCTTAGGGCTTAGGGCTTAGGGCTTAGGGCTTAGGGCTTAGGGCTTAGGGCTTAGGGCTTAGGGCTTAGGGCTTAGGGCTTAGGGCTTAGGGCTTAGGGCTTAGGGCTTAGGGCTTAGGACTTAGGGTTTACAGCTTAGGGCATAGGGCTTAGGGCTTTAGGCCTTAGGGCCGTTGTCAATTTTTTAGGCTATGGGTTGTTGTAGTAGTAATCGTAGATATGGCAGTCTCGAGGCAAGGAGGCCGTGAAATATTATAAAAAAATAGTGGCCCTCTGGATTTGGGACTCTGCTAAATTTCCGATTTCCGCTACGACGAAACCTTGATTTCCGTTCGAGACCCTATCCAGAGGGCCGTAATTTTTTTTGTTTATTTCAGAAAGTTCTGCCACCTGAGTGCTGAGGCTGAGGGCTGAGGCTGAGGGCTATATATTGTGGTACATTGAGAAGGGATCAAATTTCAGGTCAAGCATGTCGTCAAGTTATGCCCTTATTCCCATTATTGATAAATTTTACAGCATAATGTGGCTATATATATATATATATATGGTATTCAGTAGGTGTACTTTCTCTAAATACAAGTCGTGCGGACCGATTATTTTAAGCCAATATTTCGTTGAACGTACAAACCCCTGTGGCAGGCGGAACAGGTAGCCGAATGTTTGTTTTGGTTTAAAAAAAATATTTATGTATACCAAAATATATGTAGAAGGATCAAGGATATGTATTATGTACCACAACTTTTACATACACCGGATTTTATTGGATACTATTTAAAAAAAAGAACGCAGCACTCCTCATATATCGTGGTACTATATTTTTTCCTTCGCGATGTGGGCATTGGGATCCATTGGTAAAAAAAGGGACTAAAAATACGACATCAGTTGAAAAAAGACAGTTGCGACTTGCGACTTGCGACCATATCGATAGAAAATTCATCAGCAGTTTTTTTGGGTAAAAAAATAAATATTAAATAGGTCTTCAACAAGAAACATCTCGTAGACCAGTCTCCGTACTGTGAGTGCCTGAGGGCTGAGTCTGGCCTCGCCCTGAGCCTCCGCCTACTAAGGCCATGTTTCTGACCCCGTTTGCAGTAGTAGAGAGGGCTGAAGCCCTGAGTGGCTGAGTTCTGAGGGCGGCTGGAGGCTGGCAAGTGACAAGTCCTGTGGGGTATAAAGAAAATAGACGTCCCAACTCCTGAGTCCTGACTCCCGAGTCCGCGACAGAAAAAAATATTCAAATGTCCTTTTTTATAAAAGCAAAAACAAAACAAAAACAAAAACAAAGGCCAGCAGGCTCCAGCCTCCAGGAGTCCAGGGCTGAGGTCCTCAGCTGCAAATTGGAATCCCACTCCCAGGAGTCCGGTCGATGTACGGCTCTACGAGTCTACAGTCTGAGTCTACAGCTATTTAAAAAAAAAGGCTCAATAGGAATGCGGAATATAAATTCCACCTTCCAACTTTTGTTTCACTTTCTGATTTGTTCAAGTAAATAAAAGCCTTTTTTTTATAGGACAAATCAACAAATCAACTGTGTACTAAGGGGGGGGGGGGTTTGGAAACTGCACTCAATAAGCTGTCCTATCGTTGAAAATTTCAGGCCACGAAATTGATAATAGGCAATCAAAAGAGATTGATCGTTACAGTTGTGACGACTGTCACCTGACTCCGAATGACCTGGAAAATGCACTGTTAAAGGGTACTATCGAGATATAAAAGTTGCAACTTTAATGTTTATTCGAGGCATAATATATATAAATTAAAAAAAACAGTTGCAACTTTTAACGCATTGAACTTTATAGGTCTAGTCTACAGTCTCTACACTCTCTACTTCTCAACTCTCAACTCTCTACACTCCAAATACAGTCTATGACACTACAGCGTCTACACCTGGGCTGTGAACCGTGGGCCGTGGGCGTTCATTGTTGTACAAGTTTATAACAAATAGTCTTTTACCATAGCCTTCTGAATGTTACACACTTTTACTCTCGAGAAAACGAGTGGGATTCAACCAATCTGGACTCTGGAGTCTGGACACCGTCGCCGCAAACAAAAATCGATAACAATTTTAATACAATCGACAGCGGTATCGGCGTAGCCTTCTGAAAATGAGACATTGGTATCGGATACAAATATTTACAATAATAAAAAAAGAATCAGACCAGCTGTCAGCTGATAGCTAATAAAATTACTATGCTTTTGTTTTTTTATAGTCACTCTAAAATTCAACTAAATACATAAATACATATTTAGTATGGTGCTCCCCAGTCCCCAGTCTCCAGAGTCCAGAGTCTCTACTCTCCAGTTTCCCCAGAGTGGGCCCACCGACCCAGTCTTCACTCCTATTTCCATAAATAGATGCCCTCCCTCCTCTTTCCACTCTCCAGGTTCCACTTTTGATTTGTTTAAAAATAAAATAAATCTCCGCCCTGGGTGACTATAAGTCCCTGACGTCCGTGATCCGTCCCTCACAAGACGAGCTTACAGTTCACAAAGACTTGCAGTCCACAGACCCACGTCACCAGTCCTTGGACCAGTCCCTGACTCCTGGTCGGCTGTAACCTGTGACCACTTACCAGACTCAGACTGTAGTCTGTGTCCAGTGTCCAAACTGTGAAGTCGGAAGTCTGAACTCTACAATTCCCCACTTCTCCATTGTCCGCCGAGAGCGGGAAATTGCGGAGCGGCGGAAAACACCTCTCTGTTCCAATCAAACAGAGGTATTACTTCCGCACCCAAAAGAAGACTTTAGGGTTCAGTCACTTTCCGAGTTTCAGTAGTAGGTTTAAAAAAAATATGTAGCTTCAAAAAGGGTCTATGCTTTTTGGAAATCGGATATTTTCCGAGAAGAACGGAGCTATAGAAAAGTGTGGTGTAGTGCAAAGCCAATGATACTTGCGTATTAACTGGACGAAAAGTGATGACGCCTACAACAGAAATGAGGAAGTCCTACAAATATTACGCACAAACGCACAAATCGATAAAATAAAAATCCCTCTTCTTGCAAACATTTATGCAAATTGCGCCGGTTTTCAGACTCGTCGCGGCACTGCTGCAGCATGACGGTGTTTCTGATACAACAAGGACTCGTTTTCAGTTTTAGAAAAAACCCAAAACCCCCCCCAAAAAAATGCCCTGAGTATGCCTCTCATGATGTAGTAAAATTTCCAAAACACTAAAATAAAGTGAATTCTCACAAATTGGCCACGGACTACGCAGTACGCACACACAAGAAGTAAGTCCAAGGAGGGCACGATAAATAGTTTATAATCTGTACACTTTTGCGATTACCCAGACACTACTTGCTCGTTGGGATTCAGCACAGCAAAAAGGTTGTTCTAAATAATATTAAAATGGCCAAGTCTCTACGCTCGTTGGCTGGTAACTCAAAGCATGTCTACGACTACGTAATTGTAGGCGGAGGCAGTGCTGGCTGTCTCATGGCTAATAGATTGTCCTCCGACCCGTCGGTACGTGTTGCCCTGTTGGAAACAGGTCCCGATGATAATACGCCTATTGTACAGGTGTGTATCTGAGATATTGAACAAGTGATGATTGCTCTTACACTGATTTCATTGACAAATTGAGTTTTTCAGCAGTTTGGCAGCCTTATCACATGCGATCACATTCGTGTTGCTCATAATAGCACTCACAAATTACAATGATCATGGATAATAATTCTCGGTTCTCATAGCTGAATAGTATTGGGGCACTTATTGATCAACGATGCTTGTTTATTCACAAATTGTATTCTCCCCTACATACAATCTACAGCAAGCCGTTGGCTACTTCTGGGCTGTACCTTACAGTAGGAAGTACAATCATCGATTCTATTCCAAACCCGAGAAACACTGCAACAACAGAGTGCTTTTGCAACCGCGCGGTCGTGTGTTGGGAGGATCCTCAAGTATCAACGCAATGTTGTACATTCGCGGTTCAAAGCACGATTACGACGACAGATGGGTTAAGGAGGCAGGGTGCAAGGGATGGGATTACGAAACAAGTATGTTAGTGTACATCATTTTTTCCATCAGTACATTTAAACTTTTGAGCGTATGGTACTAAATTCTTCGACTCCTTTCATTCGATAAAAAAAGCAAGTTATAACTCATTTGCAACTATTCCCGATTTCTCTGCCCAATCCGAATGGTTTCCACAGTGCTGAATGCGTTCAAGCTGCACGAGAACAACGACACGCTGCATGACGAATACCACGGAACCAGCGGACCTCTACAAGTGCGTACCATGGAGTGCAAATATCCAATAGATTCGGCCATGATTCAGGGTTCCATTGACCTCGGATTGAAAGAAAATCACGACTTCAACGGAGCTGGTATGTGCACAGATTGCGCTGAATTTCACATCATCTTTTCGGTCGAAAAGACCCACGACTTCGGTGACATGTTTTAACTCTTCGCGCTGTGACAGCAGCTTGTTAACGTTCATTGATTTTTCCTTTGCAGAACAAGACGGTGTTGGGCGATACCAATCTACACAAAGATCCGGAAATAGATGTTCTGCAGCTAGGGCATTTTTGCCGCCCGAAGTTCGTAACCGACCTAACCTGGACGTAATTGTGGACGCACACGTTACCAGGGTAACCACCGAGGGCAAGAAGGCTACTGGTGTGCAGGCTGTTGTTTCCAGGAGCAAGAATGCCGATAATGCTGTCACGTTCGAATCCGCTAACGATGTCATTCTGTGCGGCGGAGCGTTTAATTCACCTCAGCTTTTGCTGCTGTCTGGTATTGGACCCAAAGAGGAAGTTACGAAACACGGTATAGAATTAGTACATGAACTACCGGGTGTGGGTCAGAACATGCAGGATCACCCTGATGTAGGTGTGAATGCCAAGTCAAAGCACAATGTTTCGCATCCGTTGCAAATTGGCGCGTCGGGACTAAGCTTGCAGGCGAATCATGCCAAAATGATGGGCGAGGGAAAGGGATGCTATTCAGGAGAGTTCGGAATTGCTGGAGCGTTCTTCAAGACTATGGAGGGTTCCAAGGCCGCCGATGTCCAACAGGTATGTTTACTATGAGAAGTTAACACACGATGTCTGAAAGATTACGAAGTATACTTGCAGAAGGCACTTACAATTTCAAAGTACGATTTCTGCAAAAGATTGCAACAAACATACATACATAATCGCATAAATAAAAACATCGATAGATTGTGTACTTGTAGCCCGTGCGGCTCTCACAGTGCCAACGCGAGCACGATATCTAAATGGCTCTGTCATTCCATCCCTACCATCTACAGCACTTGTGTCCATTCTACTACAAAAACCACGGAGCGATCATGACGTACGGATCAGGGCTGACCATCAAGAACTGTGTCCTGCGAGGTCAGTCTCGAGGATCAGTTACGCTCGACTCATCCGACCCCATGGCCCCACCAGCACTCGAGATGGGCTTCTTCAAGGACGACTATGACATGGAAGTCATGATAACTGGAATCAGAGCGAGTTTGAATCTGCTGAAGACCCAGGGCTGTGTTGATCAGGGTCTAACGTTGTGCGGGTTCAAGGATCCCAATAACATCGGTGATGACGAGATCCGCGAATACATTCGCAACAATGTTGACACCGTGTACCACCCAGGTATGTACAAGCGTGAAACTGGTTATAGAAGATTGCAAAGTATTTGAGCTTGTAGATTCCTATCTACCAAACGTTCTCGTTATAGCAAAACCCTAAAACATACAATGCACGTTCCCCATAAAAAATCTATCTCATAATCGTTATATTTATAAACCACTCCACTTAATACAGTGTCAACATGTGCAATGGGACCCGATAGTAACCCGATGAGTGTTGTCGGATACAACAACGGTCTGAAGGTGCACGGTATGGAAGGACTCCGCGTGATCGATGCGAGTACGATGCCTCTTATTATCTCAGGCAACACAAACGCACCTACAATGGCCCTAGCACAGGTGGCATATGATCAGATGGTGGCGTGCAAGGATGTGAAGAACACGGACAGCAGTATCGTTTCTTGCCAGGTAAAGGCGGATGAGAGGTTAACCGTCAGTGCATAAGTGTAAGTCGAGACTCGACTAGATAAGACTTGTTTGGAACGACTTGAAGTAGAATGTCTTTTACTTGTACGAAAAGTGTTCTTTGCAAAATATAAAAATTAATAGTAAGATAAATACATTCCACTTCACTGTACGCGTAGTCTTCTCGTGCACGACAGGTAATTGTGTACTATTGTCTCCTTGCAGATCGTAGTTAGAACGACCTCTAACGAATGGGTTATTAATGTATACTGGATTCATTGAATGACTTGTGTTATATTGCATACTTGCATATTGTAATTGACTCAAAGTGGTCTATTGAATGACTTGTTTTCGTACATCATATTGCAATTGACTCATAGTGGTCTATTGAATGACTTGTTTTTTAATACTGGATCCTTACATATTGTAATTCCCTCATAGTCTTATAGTGAATGACTTGTTATTATTGTATACTGGATCCTTGCATATTGTAATTAACTCATAGTTTTCTTCCTTGGTAAACGAATGTAGTCATTTTTGTGATAGCTGGTACTTCTATGATCATCTCTGATGTTTATTTTGAGGAACGGCCCAGTCGTAGTCATTAAGTTTTAATAGTGCATGTATCCGAAATCCAAATGTGCATTATGCATTTGGTGCGGCTCTCTGTCGTAAATGTCTAGAGGAGATCGGTAAATATATCTTTACACACATATAAATATACATATTAATACACCAACATATACATATATTCATATAATATATATACGTATAAATTTATATACATACGTATATCTATTAATATGTACATATATATACATCAATAGATACATAGATACTATATGTACATATATATACATAGATACTATATATATATATACAATATATTATATATACATACATACAAACATATATATATATATATACATATATATTTATAAACATATGTATGTATATAAAAAACACACACATACACGCACACACACACATATATATATAATATATGTAAATACTTATAAACAAACGTAAACAAACAGGATTTTTACACGCACACGCACACACTTGCAAATATTCACATATATATATATAAAGTACTACATAATAATACACCAACATACACATATATTCATATATATATACATATACATACGTGTATCTAATAAAATATCGTATATAATACTACATAACTAATTAGTACTACCTAGAAGTACGTA